TACCCACACCTCTGACGGTTCCTTCTTTTTAGTCTCTGTCTTCTTTGCTGCGCCCGTCTTCTTTTGACAAAACCACTCTTCTTCCAGATGAAAATCAGGCTGTACTACTTCCAGCGCCATGACACGTGCCCAAACACACGTCTTACTCCTCTGGATCACGTGCGGAGGAAGCTTCTGCCACGCCAAGGATCGCATCTTACTCTTGGGTTTCACCGGAGGGACGAGCGGACAGCTGTAACTTCGTTGGACGGGCTGCTGGTAAACTCGATTGACTCCAAATCCACCCAGAGGAGGCGGAGGGGGAGCTCCCCCCGCTCCCGGAGGTGGTGGTGGAGGAGGTACTCCACCCATTCCAGGTAAAGGGGGAGGCGGGGGTGCTACACCCATTCCTGGAGGTGGTGGCGGTGGAGGAACTCCCCCCATTCCAGGTAAAGGGGGTGGTGGGGGTGCTCCAGCCATCCCTGGAAGTGGCGGCGGTGGAGGAACTCCCCCCATTCCAGGTAAAGGGGGTGGTGGTGGCACCCCACCCATTCCTGGTAGAGGTGGAGGCGGAGGTATTCCTCCTATTCCAGGTAATGGGGGCGGTGGCGGTACCCCAGTCATTCCTGGAACAGGTGGAGGGGGAGGTACGCCACCCATTCCCGGTAGAGGAGGAGGAGGAGGTATTCCAGCTATTCCCGGTAGAGGAGGAGGAGGGGGTATTCCACCCATTCCTGGAAGAGGCGGTGGTGGCACATTCATTCCTGGAAGAGGAGATGGAGGTATCTCACCTCCTCCTATCACAGGGGGCGGAGGAGGAGGCGGCGGAGGAATGGTTGATGCTCCTGCCGATGGAGGAGTAACTGGTCTCCCGTACGGAAAACTCTCATCTTGCCCTGGCAGTGGAGGTGCGCTTTCAGTTGTTTCTGCGTGATTCATAGCTATCTGAAATTCTTCACCATTTGATTGTCCAGGTAGGGGCGGTGGAGGAGGAGCCGGGGGAGGATCGTTTAAGCTGAGTTCATTTGCTACACTTTCAAGGTCCAACATAAGGTCTGGACTGGATGATCGCCTCTCTTTTTCCTTGTTATTCTGAATGATACCTTCAAGAATATTGACAGAAACTGGAGTTACTTCTTCATCTTCAAATGTCATCGTCGCTTCCTCTAATGTTGCTCCCGTGGAGGAAGCCTGTACTTCCTCATGAACTCCGTTAGTCACAGCAGGAGTCGAAGTGGGGTCATTGTCAAAGACAGAACGCACAGAAGCCGAACGCACATCTTCCGACGATTGCTGTGCCACAGACATTCGATGGGCCAAGTTTTCATCAGGAGAATCACTCTGCGTGTTGTTTTCTCCCCTTCTGGATGAACCTCCATGCTGTAAACTGGTAAATTGCTTCTCACCCTCCTCTAGGATTGACTCCACTCGATTACGACTGTCGATGTTCACAGCTCGTTTTACAAGTTTCTCGATCACTTCCCAAACCGAATCCGACACAGGTGAGTCGTCCTCGATCAAAAGCAGGTTTTGTAGGATACTTAACAGGTTTATTCCTTGAGGTTTGTTGCTCACCTAAAAAAACAAATGAATGCTGGTTACGAAGCTACGGAATGGCTTAAATGGCGGGCGTCGGTGTCTCCCCTCCCTGGTTTTGCGCCTACCAAGCGGGGTACCCCTGGGCGTTTGTATTCAAAGCCACACTTGTTTTATTTTACCATTTAGCGACCCATTTGTTCTTGCTTTCTTTCTTTCTTTCGTACGTAAATTAGTTTGGTTTTTTCAATGACTGGCATGGTTAGAGTTTTATTTAAAGTGAAAGGAGAATCAATCGTTAGAGCAAGTACGACATTTTTCATTGTAGTTGCACTTAATTACCACAGCAAAAAGGAAAATACTTTGTAGGGAAATAGGAACAAACCTTTCTAAACAGGGCGTGAAATACGTCCAAGTGAGACGTGAGATTAACTCCCTCAGGGGAGTTGAGCTCATCTTCATCCTCCAGTCTTTGTTCTTCAAACACATCGAGTTGAACCAGCAACTCTTCGTCATCGTTGTGCCTGCAATAAATGAAGCAGTATATTACGATCGTCTTAACTCTTGAAGCTTTTCCCGTGTAAAATTTAAAGCCAAGCAATGACACTGGTAACGAAAGAGACGAATCCTAATCTCGTGTCTAGATCCCTCTCGCTAATTGGAATTAGAGGAACTGCTTGACCGTGGGAAATCTAGGCACGAACTTAGGCGACTTCTACATTTCACAGGAGTGTTGGATTTCTAGAGCTTTTTTCTTGCATATGTTATTACACAAACGAACACGAAAAACCAGAAAATTAATTTAATCATTCTATACAGCTATCGCGCAAAGAACTCGAAAAAACGTGAAAATTACGTTTAATCTATTCACTTAGTACGCTTTAGCAGCCGGCTTAAATACAATTAAGTTTACCCAGCTAAAGCAAATCGGGGAAAATGCCAGAGTTTTTTCTACTTAAAACACTGTGGAAAGCGCTATTAAATAAAAAATATCAACAACTACTTCTCAAATTAAGATATTTTCAATTTGTTATCAAATTTCTTACCTCAAATTACTAAGGATATCCAAGAGTCCTAGCCCTGTGAACAAATAATTGGGAGCCATTACATTTCTGCATGTTACGACTACATGCAAACCAGTTTTCAACGCGTGTAATTGGACCAAAAGCGCTGTTTTTCCGCAGCATGAGACACTAAAATATTACGCAGATGATCTGAAGTTGTTACATGTGCTCCTAGAATTGAACCAGAGTTTCGCAGTCTAAAAATTAAAGGTCTTACTACAAGAACGATTCTGTGATGTGCGGACGTGAACGCGATGCTATTTTGAGTCTTACCTGCTGGTTCGCATGGAATTCGCTTCATACAGCCAAATCTTGCATGTAAACGTTCATTTCTCTCCAGTTGCGGAAAACATTTAAACCACAAACACAGTAGCCCTTAATTTTCTCACTGCTGGAAACACCGCAGGGCCAAACAATGGAGGGAAAACCCACGAATGATTTGAGAATACGCGAAGAAAACAGCGATAAGCGAAGTACAGTGAAGCGGGATATCTAACGATTTCAACGGCAAAATCGCAAATTTCTTCCCTTCAATTATCATTCGCCTATTTCCGAACACTTATCACAAGAAAACGAAATTAAAATCCTAAAGTTTACAATTTTTCCTTTAAAAAAGGCTTTAGAGGTACAAAAAGTACAAACAAATTTATCGGTAATTAATGTGGCTGTATAGAACAAACTTAAGTTTGTTACATCTTTGTTTTTGTGGAGGGAATCTTCCCACGCACCAACACTAACGAAATTATTTAGTAAGCGTGACGAAAGATTTCCTTTGATCTACTAAAATATTGGCCACATTTCAAGAAGTGCTCCGTGGAAAAATGGAAACATACGGTATGAAATGCTTCGTTTATGAAAAGACTACGAGAACATCTTGGTGTGTGATCTGAGGACGTGGTTTGGGAAAACAGAAAACTTTTTGGAAGGTATCAAAACTTCTTGAAACTAATTGAAACACTAAAGATTTAAGAAAAGAGACGAGTACAGCGGAGTGAATTTGCAAGTATCCTTGATGAATGAGGCTCAAAGGTGAAATAAGAGATTAGAATTGAAAAGTTAATTCTCCGAATGCAAACTGAAACCTTGTCAAGGGGAAGCTGTATATTGAGATAAAACCACAGTTTTGACGTGGAAGACTAATTCGAGATGAAGGAAAACACTTGAGAAAAAAGGGAGCGTGCTACTGAAGAAGTTGCATTAAGACTTTTTGCGCGTCGGAGGAGAGGGAAGGTAGTGTGATTACCAGAAAGATTGGAATTTTAACTATTAATTTTCAAATGAAAAGGTCTGGTTCTTCGGAATAGATTACAGTTTATTTGGAAGTCTCGGTGCGGCGTAGCATACCATCACAACCTATGGCTCTGTAGAGCGTGGCTTTCGCAAGGAATTGAATATGTATACCACGACCGTACTGAGAATAGCGTTTCCTTACCAGCAAATTCGTTCCTCAGGCGGACTCGTTCTTCAAAGTCTTCTGTGGCGATGAGTATAGTGTTGATAAAGGCTAAACACGTGGTCATGTATGGCATAACTTCTGCATTTTTGAGCTCATTGATGATCAGACTAAATCTGTACCGCTGACCCTTGGTGAGCTATGGTGGAAACAAAATAACAAGGAAAAAAAAGAACCATGATTACATGGGAAAGTTTTCACTCAAGCTAAGTATTACATCCAGTCGAAGCTTCTCCCGGTTCCACGAAGATGAAGTGACAGTATTACTAACCCCCTCCTAGAAGGGGGACTAATCCATCGCAGGTAACCCCCCTCAGCATTTCATCAAGTCTCCCTAAGAGTTCACTGGTACCCCTGTACACTCGCAGTTGAGGGACGTGTGTGTGTGTGTGTAGGGGGGGGGAACTGTGAGTGTAAAGTTTCTTGCCAAAAAACACAATGGATGTTCTTCCAATTGAGCTAAAGAGAACTCGATGATGATCAGAGTCATTTTTAAGTTCATATGTGACACAAGCGTCCTTCAGAGTTGATCATTCCTAACATTCTCATAAATCGTCTTCTCAACAATGAAGCGACGTTATAAAAAAAAAAATAACATCCTAATTACACTGACTCACCTTGTAATTCTCAAGAGCGTCAATCGCAAGTTGGTGTCCTTGGCTGGAATAAAGGCACAGAGCGGAGAGGAGTTCAAATACTTGTTTCTTTATCATTGTGTTGTTTGTATCGAGTGCTGAAAGAATTAGAGAGGAAATTACTCAAAGGCGGAGTTGAAGTCAGCTCACTGAGGGTACCATTCGGCCCCCTTCCTCTCCCCCCCCCCATGGGATGCCAGACCATCGTTAATTGCCCCTCCCCCCACCTTTGTCACCGTTGTGTTCGGCTTCGTTGAAAGCTCGCCTACCGGCGCCCATTTACAGTCCCGTGTGGGAGAGAGGCAATGTTCAAGTAAAGTGACTTGCCCGGGAATACAGCACAATGACCCAGTTGGTTAATTTATTGACTCAAACAACTGGAACTCATTAAGAATTGAGAATAACTGCAAGTCGATTCCTTCAAATGTCTCTGTGTTAAATTGATTCAATATAAAAGGCAAATAAACAAACAACCAGAAAAACAGTTAGCGGAAGAAGAGTGATTAATACAACTTTTGCCATCTATCCAAAATTGGAGCACCTGTTTAGCCTAATTCTACAACAGCTAATAAGAATTTTTCAATTCATTAAAATATTCCTCTTATTTTAGCACGCTATGTTGCTGCCATTTTAACTATCCAGAAAACTTAAGTAGTCCATTTCAAAAACCACAGAAAACATGATGGGTTGTACCTTCATTTCGACCGTTCAAAACTTTTGAAGGCATTAGGAAAAGATATCTTTCATTAGCTACGTTTAACGTCGTTTAGAGATAAAGTATTTACCAATCACTATCATACTTTGTTACATAAAAATTCGTTATTCCCCCCTAACAAAGTTACGGTAATATAATTTCATCATTGCAATTTGCTTCTCTCTGACGGGATTGTTTACATGCAAATCATCTAAAGTGATAGAATACCTTATTTTACTTTTTCTTTAAATAATTAACTGTTTCCCTACAGCATGCTTTTCAGTTAGACTCAACGGATGTTGAAAAGTAGTAGTGACTGTTCTAAACATTGGAAAAGGTCAAATCTTGGTTTTCGTGATATGAATAGGAGTAAACGGGAACGAACAATGAGCAGGCTGCAATCTCTTTAAATTGGCTTAAAATCGGGAAAGGTTTCCGCATGTCAATAGAGTGAAGCACTGTGCCCAGCAAAGTTTACACGAGTCACGAGATAAAATAATTAACAGCCAAAGGCAAGACATAATTGTTTCTTGAATTTTCAAAGCTTCGCCGAAAAAAAGCAATTTCATCGCTTGAGTTATAATTTCAAAGGATTTGTCTTTTAAAGGAGTTTTTTTTTAACATTCACACAAAAAAATTTATATTTATTTCCTGTGAAACAGAACAATTTTCGTTTTCTTTCCCGCGTGTGAACAAATTGATGCTCGTAACATGTTGACATCCGAAAGCCAATGTCAGTAGTTTTTTGCCAAACACGACAAAATAAAATTTTTAGAAAACGAACCAATTTACACTGAAATAAAAATGTCCTCGCCAACATTATGAAAATAATTTACGAGTTTTGAGACAAAATATTACCGTAAATGAGAAAAGTTATGCGTAATTAGCTATCACGGACGACGAAGCAAACTTTTGTTAACGAGAACTTGGTTTAGACATCAGGAACACCGAGGTCTAAAGAAAGAATGAAAAACTATCGATTTAGACTTTTTCCTTTTTCTCGAAATTTGAATAAATTGAAAACCAGTTTGAAAATCATTTGCTCGCGAAATGACCTTGTTTTGAAATTTCGGGAAAAAAAATAAACAATATTCATTGCGCGCCAACCTTTAGCAAGATTTCGTACCAAGGCCTTGTTTCGGATAATTGAATCAAGTCCCTGTTTCGAATTCATAACAGCTTTGATGCAGTTGACGCACTCAAGTTGCATAAACGCCTCCGTCAACGCCATTTTCCCGCCTTTGCTTAATCTTTTCAAAGCTTGAAAGAGGACTTCCAGCCCACCATGAGAGAGAAATCCTGCAATCCATCCAGCAGAACTGGTTTGAATCTTTGCCCTGAGCCCGGAGAAATTCTGAAGACATGAAGAACTAAGTAGACGAACGCAAAGTTCAGCAGAGACATCTGAAGAGATGGTAACGTTTTCGACTTGCTTTCCATCTGTAGCATTGTTAAATCTTTGCCGAACTACACTCCATCTGTTGGCAACACTCGCAGTAGCCATAATAACGGAGAATTTGTACTCAAAGCCGTGAAATCATTTTAACCAACCAAAAAAAATCAACAATCCATTTGCGGTCAATAAAACTGGACGGTTTTCTCATCTAAAACCGCATTTGGGAACACCGAGAATTCTAATGGCCATCGTAACTGCCAGGTCAGTTTTAAACACAACCTCCTCAACTACTCCACATGCAAATAAACTCTCGAGGCAAGCCATGTTGTCTCGTTTAAAAATAAAAAAGGTTTAGGCGAAAGATTAAAAATAGAAGAACACGCATGCCTAGAAACAGTTTGCGAAAACCATTCTACTTCCCTTCAAGAAAGAATGAATGCGCTACATCGCGCAGGTGACCGTCATTTCAAGATAGTATTTCGAGTTATGCAAACATTCATTCATGAATGCCACTGTATTCTATGTTTTTTAATCATCACGACACTGTTTTCTCAGTAAAAGGCCTTAATTGTAATTGCTATGGAATACTAAATGAGTCACTTTGAGCGGCTGCCAGAAGAGTTCGTCGTATTGATTCGGTGTCAATGGAATCACTTGAATATAAACAAGAGAAAGAATTATTCCAGTAAGATGGTGGACCGTTTTATTTGGGAAATTTCTCATTTTGGTTAGGCAAATATCGGCTGCAATAATGAAGATAAACTAATGTTGTCTTTTTACATCAATAAATAGTATAAAACTACAAAGTGCATCTTTTGAGCTATTTTGGGTACAAAACAACATGAACGTGAGCTATTATTCGAAACTAACCCTAAATTATGAATACTTTGAACACTATTGTGCAGGTGAGAGGAGACAATATTGTATTTAGAATTAAGAAAGCCTTCAAGTTTAGCCAATACGAATTCAGACTGCCTTAGGTATGAATAAATATAATTAAAACTCTACAGTCCTTTTTTACCCATTTGAATTACAAGGAACTCGTTCGATACTTTCCGATTACTATATTATGGAAGGGATTTTATTTAATTCCGCGCGCATCGGAGGAAATCCCGCAGTTGAGTTTGATAAAACAGAAAAGCGAAGGAGATCGTAGCTTGTTAGTTAGTTGAAAAAGAAACCACTAGGCATTGGTTTCCTTGAAACCGCTTCATGGAGAAATTGAATGCTATTTACTATAATCAAAAACTACTTTGTCAAGTTTTCAAATTTGTAATTATCATTCTAGCGCATTAGCAATCGCAAGAGTTTCCTAAAAGATTCTTTTTTCAGAAAGTTTTAGAGCGGTGATAGCCAGTATCATTTTGGTTTCTACAAAAAAGTTAACTTAGCCTATCTCCAAAAATTTACGCCTGGCGCATGCCGTAGACATAATTATTGCTCACTTTTTACCCAGACTGAGAAACTGTTTAATTCATAAGTAAACCGATAATAGAACTTCAGCATTCATTGATATAAGCAAACTTATAATGTTATATTTAGCTCCTCGTTTGTTTACCAAACAAAATCGTTTGTAAGAAAAGTTTTCATTTTAAATAAAGTCAAAACTCTAAAAACAAACGCCTTGTAATCAATGTTTACGACCCCGGTGGACTAGAGCTGAGAAGAATCGCTTCCTAAAAAGTTGTCTACTTACTAAATTTTTTTATGGTTTGGGAAGGTAAAGGTAAAGTCTGTTTACGAGCCTAGTAGCCCATTTGGCCGGTGCTTAACTCCGGTTTCTGTAGCATGAAGCGACTAGGAGTATTTCTACTCCCCCCTGGATGGGATGCCAGTCCATCGCAGGGCTACCCCCAGCATTAAATTGCCGGTACCCATTTAAACACCTGGGTGAAGAGAGGCACTGTGAGAGTAAAGAGTCTTGCCTAAGAACACAACACAATGTCCCGGCCGGGGCTTGAACCCGGACCACTCGATCCGGAGTCGAGCGCAATGGTTTGGGAAGAAAACTCGATAATTTTGCAGCTCAAAATATTATCAGCAAGATGCATTTTATGTTCATAATTTTCTGCGGATATTTTTCTGGTCTAATCAACTTTTTTGACGCTATTCAACAATTGATTCAGTATAAAAAGATATTAGACTGTTTTGTTTTGCCTTGAATTAGAGACGATAAAAAAATCATCGAAAGAAAGAGGGAAACATTTAAAATTCCTATGCAGATACAGGTTCCTAAATCTGAAAAGAATATTTATAACATAAAACTCAAAAGCTAATCATTGACATTCCTTAAATTCAAATGAATTTTCAATAAATACGCTTAAAAGACTGTAGATTGAAAAAACCATTAGAATTCTGCATTATACTTGCTAATGATCCTAATGCTTTGATCACAAGGGGGACCAACCACAATTTCATACCCCGCATAAAACATTTGGTTGATCGAAGTTAGCTGTACTTCAAAATATCACTTTCTATCGCGAGGCCATTTCTAGCAGTATTTCAGTATGATTTCGTCTTGTCTTGACTAGATTTAGAACCTGTATCAAATCGAGAGAGTTAAATAATTACGAAACGCTTTTAATTCCGGCAGAATTATAGACAAGTAAAACAGTTCGTCCGAGATGAAATAGCACCAGCGTAGCTTTTTTTTCAAACCACACCCGGACGTTCTTAAGGTACGAATTTTAGCCTTCTACAAGACTGAGAACAATTATTCCCTCTTCCATGAAAGAGAAAAGAAAAAAAACAAGGTGGAACTGAAGAGATTTTCTAAAAGTTGGACCGCTTTTGATTGAATCGGCGTTAGCCATGTAAAATGACAGCTTCATCAAGTCCCCCCGCGAAGAATTTTCAATTATTTTGACATGTTTTGTCTCCTGGTTTTCGACTGAAACATTATGTAAATCTGCATGTAAACGCGTACAATAAAACTGAGTTCATGGAAATACAGTCACCAAGGGAATCTTGTAAATAGGAAAATTGAACAGGGCAGACGGTAACGGCAACGAGGCGAGGTGATGGTCCTCATTGGCACGGCAAATATTCTTCTTCTTCTTCTTGAGGCAACTTCATCATTGCCACATTTTTCGTATCAAAAATGCGTATTGGGAAACAATTGCGAAAATTTGACTTTCATAACGCAGGACACGGGATTTCATCCAAATTTTATCAATAATTGCCGCAGGCAACCCCGAGTGCCAAACATCATACGGACATAAGGTATCAAAGAAGGAAAGTAAGCGTGTTTATTCGGACTGAAATAGCATTTTAAATATTAGCGCTATCCCTTTAAAAATTGACATTTTCTTTAAGGTTAATTTTCATTTTCGGATATTTTTTAGTAGGGATTTAACGCTAAAAAAATATTGTCTGGGAATTTTATGTTTTTTCTTACCTTTTGAGATAAAACATCTATAAAAGAGTTAAAATACTTATTCTAGAATGCCTATTTTAAGTTTTTGTTTTGTGCAGACCACGTCCAGAAAAAAAACAAAAGGTTTTGATTAAAAACATCGTCGAATAACTTTATTTTGTAAAATGTCTCGGCGAGAAAGAATAAACTCCCATTCTGTTAAATAATAAAAATTATAAAAAATAACTTAAATATCTGCAATCAGTGTTTATCAAGCTCTAAGAGTATGTAAACTCTCTCAGGGATTGCGCGAATAATTTGCATGCTATTTCAGTTTTAAAAAAATCCCAAATTTCCCTTCCGTGATACCTAAACAAGAAATGGCAACACCTTGACCTTGGCAGTTTGACAGACACTGACAGAAAATTTGCAGAGAGAAATGGTTGAATTCAGAGGAAAGACTTAACTCATCGATCAAGATTTCTCTATGTTTGCTTTCAGCACAAAAACTCATAATAGAGCGGCGATTCATAAAGTGCGGTGATTCACAAGGTTAGTGATGAGTTTTGAAAACAAAGGACGTGAACAAAATACCAGAGGACAATAAAAAATCCGCAGTAGTTTCGGCAAAATAGAATTAAACACTGCTAAAAAGCTTGCTCCATTCTCTGTCAAATTTATTTTTTCCACCATCTCAAATTGTTGTTCGGTTGAATATCGTTCGCTGTGTTGGACACTTAATATCCAGCATGTTATTAACAATTTCGTCGTAGCATCAACCAAGTAAATCCTCAAAAATTACAAAAGAATACATTTTAAACTCCCGAGAAAAAACAAATTAAAAATAATATGGCAGGTAAAGCAAACAAGAATTAAAATATTATGTAAATATTCGTTTCTCCTTGTTCGTCGGACAACAAAGCAATTCCGCGCGTTTAGCTGAATTAACTTGACCGAAAAAAAAAAAAAAAAACCCAACCATGATCAAAATACTCACTTCTCAAATTTCAAAGTTGAGTTTTTTGAACCTGGAAATTTTAGGCAACCGCGAAGGCCTTCAAATTTTACGAAGTTTGCAGACGACAATCATTTCTAACGGGATTAATGAACTTTCTTTGTGATCCAAAATTTAAGCCAAGCGTGTTCTTATAGCCGGTAATATTTACCTCCAGACATATAAATATTTGGAAGCTCTATATGAATCACCAAGGGTTTTGCAAACCGCAACAATTGAAAGTAGAAAATCTTACCTTCTACCAAAGATCTGGTCAATTCTTTGCTCGAAGTCATAACAGCCAAACCGGCTGGCGAATTCATTACAGCTTTAATACAACGAACGCATTCGATTTGATCAAGGGCCTCCATGAAACGGTTCTGCTTGTTCGCAGATGATAAAGATGAGAGACCATCTAACAAACAGCTCATTCCTCCAAGGTTTAAAAATTCGCTTAGCCATTCCTTGCTTGCTTTCTCAAGACGTGGTCGTAGTCCTGAAAAGTTCTTAAGCGACGGTGTTTCTAGAAGCTTAAGACACAGCTCGGGTTCCGCGTCGGAAATAAGCGCATTTCTAACGGATGAACCATCGTTGCTGTCCCCAGAAATCTTTCGCCATTTTGACTTTGAATTAAAAGCCATATTGATTCGACGTAAAAGCATACCCAGAACGGAAAATGACCCACAAAAAAACCGTGTAAATTAAGATTTCAGTTCCAAATGAAGTGGGATTTTTTTGTTGCTTTTACAGCGAGTTATGACAACCACATGACTGCAAAATGCGCATATGCTTGAAGATACCAGTTACGGTACGCTTTGGGAAAGCTGCCAGGTCATACTGAGGTCACAGAATACTTACAACAAAGACTGTCGTTATTGTTTTTGTTGACGCCTCGGAATTATAAATCCCCCGATAATCATTTATTTGATCGACTATTCTGAGCAGTGAGTAGGGCCTGTATTGTTCGTCTGACTAAATTTATTTTTGTCTTGTATTACACTTTCCAGTTAGACCAGTTACATTTTAACTGGTTAGACCCGCTGGTCGAAATTTGTTTTTTATTTTCTTCTGGAAATAAAACGTGGGTTGGATTTCATTGGACAAGAAAATGTGATGGATGACCTTTCCAGTGGGAACACAGCTCTGAAAAACTGTCAGTGATTCTTACAGCACTGGGAAACATCGCCGTAGAAAAATCTCATAAATTATCACCAGATCTAGATAATTATTTGCCTTGAGCTTAAAAAATGACACTATTCTACCAAGTTTGGTTCTTTGTTACACAAATGAGTGCAAGTTGCGGCTCAATTCCTCAAAATGATAGCTCACAAACTGTTTAACCAAGTACATTATCTTTGCAGACTCGACAACCACTTAAAGAAGCGTTAAAAGAAAAAAAAATTTCATTTTCATAAAGGAGTGGGCGAAAGGGTTAAAGCAAAATTCGTTTACTTTGTCGCAAATTACGGAATTTAAGAGCACCAGAAAAACTTCAAGGCAGTACTACCCAATTGTGACTGCTTAATATGTTTACTTAAGTCCGCGTTTCTAACACAAAAAACCGGAGTGCTAAAAACAGTGAAAAACAGATGACTTATTAATATATTTTGATAGATATTCAAAGCGAACTTAAAAAAATAACCTAGGGAAAAAATAATCAGATACAATGCAATATATGAAGTTCATATATTGTGTACTGCGGTATTAGATACATATGATGCACGATCCTCGCAGTGGATAGCGCTATTTAAACAATAGCGAAAATCAGACCTGAAAAAAATCAGGCCTGTACGGGATTCGAACCACTGATCTCTGCGATACTAGTGCAGCGCTCTACCAATTGAGCTAACAAGCCAACTGGGAGCAAGCCGTTAAGTTGATTCGTAATAAACCCGTGAAAGTGATATCTAATACCGCAGTACACAATATATGAACTTCATATATTGCATTGTATCTCATTTATCACTTTCACGGGTTTATTACGAATCAACTTAACGGCTTGCTCCCAGTTGGCTTGTTAGCTCAATTGGTAGAGCGCTGCACTAGTATCGCAGAGGTCAGTGGTTCGAATCCCGTACAGGCCTGATTTTTTTCAGGTCTGATTTTCGCTATTGCTTAAATAGCGCTATCTACTGCGAGGATCGTGCATCATATGGAAAAAATAATGTTAATTCCTCTTTTTTCAATTTACCAAATTCCCTTTCTGTGGTTTAACACAAACTAATTAATTTAGTGGCCAAAAACCGCTGTCAGCCGAATCAGTGATAAATAGTTCATGTGCGTTTGTCCGGATTTATCAATACCATTAACTCATAGCAAAGAGTACTGTTTGTTTTGCAAGTAATATTGTTTGTTTTCAGGTTATGCAGTTCGTTAGGTATTATCGAAATATCGTCTGAAAACCTTGATGTAAGGTGTTTTGACGATCGCTAAATTGGGGTTGATTAAATCAGACACTGGATTATCAGATAAAATTCAAAATGTTTCACGAAAATTGCTAGAGTACAAACTGATACATTTGCTGATAAAAATGATTTTCCTGTTCGTAAGTTACATGTAATCTTAGTTTTAGTTAGTTTAATCAATCGATTTCACAAAGTTCTTTTATCGTCATCAGTTCAGCGAATTCTTTTGGCGGAAAAAGCAGAATTTGTCTATTTTAAGATTTCAGGTAAATGAAAAAACTTTCAGTCGGGAAATAAAACGAAGATCTTTACAAATTTCATTGAAGTTATCTAAAAAAAAAAGAAAAGAAGAAAACAAATGAAGCTAATGTCAGGTGTAAAGCCGGCTTGGAACAAAAAAAAGAGAAAAATAGCTGATTCATGGAGAACTTTGACGTATTTTCAATAACAGGTAACACCATAGTGTGAAAAGAGACAACTTTCGCATGGTGTACAAATAAACATTGTAAAGTAATGTCTGGAACACACAGACTTTCGGGCCCGCGTTTTACTATTTACAGAACACTTGATATTATTTGCCGTAACGTTGAGACAATTATGGCCAAACCAATTATTACTGCGTTCTCGATTTAATGTGGGATTTTACCTTTGAATACCGAAATAGAAAATACCGTAAAGAAAATTTAATTGATTTTAAATATCGCTAACCTCTTCCAAGTCGTCGTGTGAAGTCGCGATTTCCAACCATGAAATCCAACCCGATTTTGGAGTTCATCGCAGTTTTGATACAAGACGTGCATTCAAGTAACATAACAGCGTCTACGAACATCTTGAGCGAGCTTAATCGTTCTAAAGCATCGAGGAAAACTTCCATGCCGTTGTTCTGGAGAAATTCAAAGATCCATTCATCCGATGAACATTTTAACTTGCTGTGAATACCATGGTAAGTCTGGACTGATGGAAATCTCAATAGTCGGATACAATATTCGGGAGAAGCTTCACGGGGAAGCCAGAAGTTTTGATCTCCGGTTGATACGTGCCGTTTCAGAGTCCACCATTTGTTCCTAACGGTCATATCCGACATCTTTTGATAAGTTCTTGAGTGGAATACATTTGCAGGTAGTTTTGGAGTCCCATAGAGCACGGGAACTTTACGTGCCAATCATATCAGTCAGTTAGTTTCCAATGGCAACGAAGGTTTTTTAGCACTCCAGGTAGATGTTTAACATAATACGAAAATAGGGGAACATCAGATATGACGCCTAGCGTTATTAAGCTTAATCAACTTGCAATTTAAAAACAGTTTGTTGCAGTTTGGTTAAAATTTGAGCGAGACGTACGGAAATTGCTGGCCACCTTCTGTCCTCCAGGCAAAAGAACCATGATTATTGTAGACAGCACAATGATATATGCAATTGTGCGAAGCTCAATAGTTTCTAGTTTGAGCACTCTGGCATGGCTTAAATTGTACCACAAATGTAGAATGATTTGGGGTGGCTTTATAGCTTCATCCCCACCTTAGAACTAGCACTACGCTGATGAGGCCCAGAAGGCCGAAATAGTACTTTCTGCGCTGTCTGCAGTTAGTTATATAGCTCTTTGGCATTACAAAGCTTTGATTTTATGTCCAAATCAAGCACTCTGCTAGGATGAGTCATGTCGTGCAATTGTGCGAAGCTCACTGGTTTCTAGTTTGAGCACTCTGGCATGGCTTAAATGGTACCACAAATATGGATTCATTTGGGGTGGCTTTATAGCTTCACCTCCATCCTAGAATCAGCACTGCACTGATGAGGCCCAGAAAGCCGAAACAGTACTGCTTGCAGTTATATATGTTTTTAGTATAATTTCAGAGTTGAGCAAAGTTTCCAGCAATCTGATTGGTCGAGCGGTTCCTTATATGACGCTATATAAACCGCTCCACGCGGTTTATATAAAATGTTAAAATAAAATGTTAATAAATGTTACTAAAATGTTATGATTTTAGAAATTTCTCTGTTGTTCAGCTCTAAAATTATACTAAAACAATTATTCGCCTCAGGTTCGGTGAATATTGTCGAATAATCCCCTCAACTTCGTCTCGGGGATTATTCACGATATTCACCGAACCTGAGGCAAATAATTGTTAAATATTTGTATTATGTATATATGTATATATTTTTCATGTATACATTTTGGGAGGGGGACAGGGAGGGGAGCGGCGGATAGTGATTTCTGCGCGTTTCAAAGTTTAATTGTGGGTGTTGTACCATTGGTGAAACAGATGAGCCCGAGTTTCTTGCAATCCTCAATTAATGGTTTTACTGTCATCACCTGTACTTGTCTATCAATTAATCACATTAAAATTAAATTTTTTATCGCATCTCAAATCCTTCAAGTTGTCCCGCGTTTCTCTGAATTTCCAAAACTCCCCCTCAGTCAAAACATTTTCTTTTTCAAGTTTCTATCGACAGTCTCCAAACTTAGCTTTGCAGAGATTTTCCTGAGTTTTTTAATGCATTTGTATTTGAATATACCATTTGACCATTTTTTGGGTGAACTATTGATAAGGGAGCTTTCACAGGGGAGAAACTTCCGGTGTCTTAGCCGACTAATAAAATTTTGAAACCAAGTCCGAACCTTTTCAACTGTAGCAATACAGTTCCTTTTTGAATCTTACCATTTCTTCTGAACATTATCGATCTACTTTAGTTCTCTTGGCCATCTAGTCTTAGCTTTAGGTAATGAAGGTATTCGATTTGTCAATTCATTCCATTCCACGAGAAATTGATTAATTTGACGGAGGAGTCCGCTATATGTTTTCTGTGTAGAACGAGAGCTCATTTTACCAATGGCACTTTGCCGCTGCAATGAGCACCGAAAAAAAAAAAAAACAACAACAACAACAAGCGTGTTAATCGGATCTATGGAGAAATCCAATCCGCCTTTTTTTTTTTTTTTTGTTAATGTTCCTCGGAACCAAAATGCATTAAGTTGCCAATTTCCGGTGACTGACAAAGTGAAATGAGATTCATTTCAAACACAAAAACAAAAATTCATTGATGCAGAGATAAGTAAACAAGAATATGATATAAAGAGTGATTGAGTATTTCATGTAAGGCTTGATTTATATGTTAGATTTTCCAGTGTTATGCTTGATGCATCTAGGCAAGAAATGAAACTAAATTTATGTGCGCTCAGCAGCTAGGTACGGAAACCGAAATTAAGGCACTGTAGAACTATCAAGATGGACTAAAACCCCTGAGGCAAAAAGTCTTTAGGAATGAGACGACAGAGAAACACATGGAGTAAAATAAATATCAAAGTCCAATAAAAAGTATGCCCTTACCAAAGACCAGCTGACAAACAAGATCTGGAGAGGAACTGAAATGCAGAACTCCAGCCTGAGAATTCAGAATTACTTTGATACACTGAACGCATTCGAGTGCTACAA